CCATTTTCATTTTAAAAAAATGGGAGCCAAACGGGGGCTAAAAATGTTTTCATATCAAATTAAGCTTAAGAGAATAGTAAGGGTGTGAAGAAGAAAGACTTTTTACACATTTTTTTCTTTTATATCCAAGAAAATTTAAGATAGGTAGAGGTATAAGTGTTATTTCGTTTTCGAATTATGATTTTTCGTCCAAAGTTTTAATAAAATGGTATCTCCGGGAACGGTGTTTCGACACTACTATAGTTGAATGATCTTTCTTCGGCTTTACGTATTATGATAATGCTATAGAAATCGAATTTCACTAGAAATCCATCTATGTGCAACGGTATGAATCTACAGTTTGAATTATCTAGTTTAATAACGAAATGCACCGATGATATTTATTGAGTTTCAAACTCGTGGGTTAATTCTCTTCCTACAGATTGATTTGATTTGCTTGGGGGAGTGGATGATAGTAGTTGGAGATGTGACATGCCATGGAGAAACCGGTGATTTAATGTCTTTAATTTAATAATGAAACGTTTACGTTTCCTTTTAAATATATTTCTATGGATGTCGTATGTGGAACTATTTTTACGAACATTTCTTTATGAATAAATTATATTTAAAAGTAGATATGTGTTCTATAAATTAATTTACGAAAAATTGTTTACGAGAAAAAAATGTTAGCGATTTAATGTTGTTATTTCTTTAAAATTCTGCATTGACTTTAAAAATTCATAACTTAATCGTTACTTGGAATTTTTATACAAAACTTGTGGCGTTTGAAGATTAGCTATTGAATAAACTTAAAATCATGTCAATTCGATGTCGGTAGAATTTTACACACCACTTAAAGTAAACTGTACTACATAGTGTTGTTGTTATCAGCTTCTGCAGTTGGTTTCAAAAATTTATAACTCAATCGTTACCAGGAACTTTTGCATGAAACCAATGACATTTGATAATCTCATGGATTAGCTATTAAATAAAGTTGAAATCATGTCATTCCGATGTCTGCGAAATTTTATACGTTATTTTAAGTGAATTGCACTAGTTTACCTTCTAATCGAGTTGCTGCGAGGTTTTGAAAAATATTTTAACATTTCATATGTTGCTGACGGAAGCTGATTTTTGAATATGTCATAATAACATAAGTTTGCTACATTTTCCTAAAATCTCTTGAAATTTTGAAATATATAACTATGTAAACAAATTTATTTTAACACTTGCCGTTTGACAAAGAAAAGAAAAACAACAATATTGTTTTTTTTTTTCCTGCCTTTGACATACACGTCAACAATAGATATAAAGACTTTTTTGAATTTGTTTCCTTTAAAAATTAAATTGTGTCGTAAAAAAAAAAAAGATAAATATAAATATATCATACTTAAATAAATTCTTAAATTAAATCTTTATACTTTCCGTAAAAAGTATAGTTAATTATTAAGTTTATGGCTAAAGTACAATTAAATTAGCAACGTTTTGATCTGTACGGGTCGGGGCATTACAGTAACTCTCACAAATCCCATAAAAATGCACAGCAACTGAGCTATTTGATTAATACTTAATCCTTCAATTTCGAATTGCGAGCTTATATTAATTATTAATTAATGATAAATGAAACAAATTATCCAAAACCAAATTAATTACAATTCAATATGATTCCAATAAACTAGCCAATGGATAGATCCTAGTTGGCAAGAAATTAGCCAAATTGATTTCTTTATTGTACAATTTGAGGAAAATTTCCCTTGTCAGCATCTCAAGTTTGACAGTGAGATGATTTTGTTTTGGTCCGCCGCAAACAGAAGTAACTGTAAATTTGAAATTTCAAAAGTTTCCATAGTGATTGAGATATTTAATACAAAAGCCGCATTTTCACATGATAAGGCCCAGAAGACCAAACAAGTATAAGGCCCACAACCTAATCCAACTGCACATAATGTTTGGTTAAGCTGAAAGAAAGTAAAAAGACACTTTTAAGTAACTTCTAATTTTCAAATATGATAAATATTCACTTTGTTCGAGTTTGCTCTTAATAGTAAAAATATTACTTAAATTTTGCGACCAAAATAAATAAATTATCATTAATATTGTAATATAATTAAAAAATTATTTATTTTGAGAACTTAGTCATTCACTTGTGGGTACATATATAAGTAAACATATTCAAAAATCGAAGAAGGTAATATATCCTACATAATGTATAGGAAGCTACATGCACCATGGAGATTAAGAGCCAGTTTGAGCTCTATTTTTGTTCAAAATACATTTTGAAATAATATTTTGATGAAAAATGTGATTAAAAAATAATAATAATAAGTTTTGAATTTGCGTATAATAATATTATTATTTTTAAAAATGTGTAGTTGAAAATAAGAAACGAGCTAAAAGTTAGTAATCAAAAGCATCACTAACTTACGTCTTATTAAAATAGTACGGAATACTCTTGGTAGTACCAAATGAAATAGAACATGAAACCATAAATTTCGAGATAGCAACTTCAATTTAAATTTATTTCTACCTTTTCATTTTATTTCACTGTGGATATGAGGGTAGGTAGACTAGTCAAGGTGGGAAGTGGGGTTGGGGCAATGGCATGAGCATTTGAGAAGAAAAGTGGGGTATTGCCCTCCAGAGTATAGTCCAGTGGTGCAAAGGAAAGGAGTGAGATTATCTCACGCCTTGCTGACAGCCACAGTGTAGGGGTTCAATTCCTGAGACATGAAATTGAACTCCTTATATGCGCAGTGTACAATCAACTCTTGCTCTCTAGCTTGTTGGGACACATTCCGCGATTTACCTTCCTCACAAAGCTCTAAGAGCGGGGCGGTGTGGTCCTCAAGGTTGGGGTTCATCCTCTTTTTTTTTTTTTAATATTAAGAAAAAGTGGGGCATTTTGTTTATGAATCGGTGGTTATATTGAAACTACGCCGGCGGAGCAGCCGCCGCACGAGACAGAAACTCCCGAAAGTACGGCTGTGTATAAAAGTGACCCTTCAAAGCACTGACGTCACGTGACTGCCCGTTCTTCTCTGTTGTGAAGACCGCACCGAACCACAAATTCATTAATTACTTATAAGGGAAAAAGGGGTTTATTTAACTAAAAAAATAATTATGTTCCAGATCCTTTTTTTTTTTTTTTTTTTGCTCAGTAAGTTACTATTTAATTTGATTAGGGGTTGAACTTTGTTTTCTTATCAAATAAGTCGCTGAGATTTTAATTTTATTTCAATTTAGACGCTGTTTTATTGTAAACCCCTATTTTGGTTCGGATTAAAATCAATTATTTAGTAAATTTTGATAAAAGTTGATAATATGTATGATTGAAAAGTTATGAAATCCATAAAATATATGATTAAAATTAAATTTTAACTTTAATTTGAATTAAAATATAAATTTTAATTTGTACCAAACATGAGTTTAATAATGAAGTTACTAACTTGTACATGATTTAGGTTTCTTGTTCGAGTCAACAAAAAATGCATAAATAATGTATTTAAGATGCACAATTTTTTGAAAAAATAAGCATTAGATTTTCAAGGCGTATAAATGTTTCTATTAGTAGTCAATATGAAATCAAATTTCCTATTATAATCGAGATAAAACCGAAAATCCTCTTAAAATTACTCGAAAAGAATGGAAAATTAGCAAAAGATATCTTTTTACCACTCATTTGTATTCACATTTTTCTGTTATATCTACACATCGTTTCTAATCATCGACTCTTTTCAATCTTTTTACTCAAAACAATTTTCAAACTTTAAATTCTATTTCTAATCATATATTGTTAGGAAGTAACGAAATCATAGAAGTAGGTTTAGGACCACAAGGCAATTTAGGACGGACCATTTCGTAGCTTTAACTAGAACTCAAAGTACCAACAATTAATATCCCAAGTCTCATAAAATCTTATTATTCAAAATAGTAAATTATTTTTAATATGATAAAAAATTGAAGTCTACTCATTGACAGTTATTTTGGCAAAGATAATATATATTAGTGTGGATGATACAGAAAAATCCATGAAAATTGGGGGACCATAAACACACCCATACCCTTATTTTCCCAATTAAATTAATGAGATGTTATATGTCCACATGGTGGCATATGTAATGGGGAATGGGGGGTGCCCTTTTAATTTTCACCACAATATTTTAATATCAGGTTTTTGAAGTTTAATATCAAAATATTAACCAGCACACAAATTCAAGTATCCTTTATTTTCTATCACTGTTTCTTTTAAATCTCATATCTTGAATTAGATAATTTTAAATAAGTTATAAGCATTCATATATGACCAATACATGTGTATGCTACTAGACCGAATAGAATTTTATTTTTTTAATATTGTCCCTAGTTACCTAATAACTATTTTGTTATATGTACAATCGGGGTTGCAATTCCGATTGACAACCATACATATGGGAGGAGGACCCACAATAAATAAAAAAATCGTGGGCCCCTCTCCTGTGAGGAGGTTTGTCAACCTAGGTTGTTAATTGAATTGAATTCACTCGGTCTATCAACCCTAAAGATGGTTTTATTTTTGAAACTCGGAATCAATGTCCTTTGGCAATTTCACTATGCTGTCAAAGGGCATGGGAAGGGGACCCGCGATGAGTAAAAAAATGTGAGCCCCCTCTGTGAGGAGGTTTGTTAATCTCGGTTGTACAACTAACAAAATTCATAAACATCAACTAATGTGTACGTTAAAAAAATAATAAAGTTACAAATCAAGTATAAAAATAACTTGGAGTTTCAGAGATTCTATGCTCGGAATATAATAATAAAAAGTATGACTAAGACGAACTAAGTTCAACTTCTTTAAATTTTATTTTGCATTCTTCGTCTCTAAATGGGATAAGCTTTTCAATGCGAAGATTAAGTGAAGCCCTCTTTTAAGTGTGTGTTATGTTTTTATATTCTTACTCTTAATATTTGATTTTTAATGATAAATTATATATACAAGAGGGGTGGTGTTTTATATATTTATGAAATTATTAGGTATCCAACCCCACTGAGCACTTGAAAAAAAGCAGGATACATGTGGGCAAGAGCCCTCCTTTGTTCTTCTCCTCTTCTACAAAGCTGGTTTTACATATAGTATATGCTGGAGTGGTCCTTCAAACTTTTATGGCCATGCCCTTCTTCCATTGCTTCTTTACATATGACAATATCTATATAAATATATTGAGAGAATAGCAATTTTCATTTCTACCAGTTGAAGAAATCAAGAAATGCCTGAGAGAGATCTGATGAGGTGAATTTTGTAAGTCCTTCCATGCTTTTCCACAGCTTTCTTGAACTTTTTCGACGTGAATTTAGATCCCTCTATCGGAATATATGGAGGATTATTATGAAGAAGATGGAAGTTCAAGAAAGCTGTGGGAGAACATGAAAATTTAGGACTTAATTCTATTTAGTGCATCACTCCACAGCTGCTGATCAGAAGAACATGTTTCCTGACTGGTAATTATCCCTTGAATTTCTCAAGAAACCCCTTCTTTAATTCTTGAAACTCTTCACCGACAGCCATGAAAATGAACATTTCCATAATAATTCTTGAAAATCTTGACTATCAGGCACGAATATTTGCATAATTCTTGAAGTTCTTGACTGAGCCATGAAAAATTTCTTTAAGTTCTGACTGGCAGCAATGAAAATCTGCAAAATTCTTGAAATTCTTGACTAACAGCCATGAAAATTTCCATAATTCTTGGAAAAGCCCATGATTATTGTTTTAACCTAAGATCGAGATGTTATACACGCATATGAATTTGATGAATTAGTGTTTACAAATTTACTGCCGAATTGCTTGATTATGCAAGAAGGATGTGATTGTTGATATCCTTTTACAGCACACTTTTTTGACTTTTTAATTGTTTGTACGGTGTTTTATGCTAAATTTTACGTTGGATTTCAATGTCAAAAGGCAGTGAAAACTGATGGTCAGTTTATGTTTCAGAGTAGATTCCCCTTATCTTTCCACCTTATCATCAATAAATGATGTTTGTCTATCTTTTTTGCCTTTTGTTTTTACCTCTGTACTGTGATCTCACACATTATTTCCATGAAAAAGGCTAAATTTTGTCATTTTCTGCAAATTTATTATTTTTACCCTCTTCCTATTCTCACGCTGGCAAACCACACGCACGCATGCAGTGATACAGACAAATATGTACATACATGTTTTGATGTTCATACACTTCACACAGTAAATTTACTGATATACACATTGGTACTTGCAGATTTAAGAGTATTGTTGGTTGAGTTCATGTTGGAACTTCAAGTTTTATTCATGTATTTGAAAAAAATTGTGTTGATGAGGTAGTGATTTATGCCTTCTCAACTGTGTACCTACCCATTTATAAGTTTATTCCAAAGTTTCGATGGCTTGTTGAATATTACTAGACAGTATAATTGCTGATTTTTTTATTTAATATAGTCCAGCTACTATCTATTTTAACTTTTCAGACCTCTCAACGAGTTCTATCTACATATTTGGTAGTGAATGAGACCATACTCGTATGTACTAAAAAGGAATCTAAGCTAAAATCTTATCTAATCATATCCAGAGCTTTTAAATTAAGGACCAAATAAAATGCTAGAAATGACACAACTTCATTCATTTAAATCATTTTACGTGAAGGTCATGAACTCACATATGCAAATAAATTGATGGTGACGAGATTTGAACCCGGAACCTCCATCTTTTCGATAAATACCAAGTAATTCAAGATCTTGGGGGCAAGATTTTTGTGCCTCTGCTCATGAAATTCCTCAGCATAAATTTTTTTAATAATTTTGACTGTGAATGGAATCTAAGAAAAGGGCAAAAAAAAAAAAAAAGAATCTTCATTAAAGCCATTAATGTTTTGACAAGAATATAAAAATTGTGTACCAAAAACTGTAAGATATGGAAATAGAAGCAGTTGTGATTGGTGGATGGTGTGTAGGTCCTTCAAAAATCGATTGAATTGGACAGACACTAAGGCATGGCTATTCTGTTATAACTCTAAAAAGATGAAATATTTTGTACTATCAATTAATTATACTTAATTAGGTGCCTTTTCCTTTGACTCTTGAGATAAATCAAATGCCTGCCTGTTGATTTCTGGCTATATTGCATACAACAAATGGAAAGGGAGACTGCACAAAGTTCAGTTTAAACTTTAAACTATTATTTGAATCCATATCTTGGTATGTTTGACTATACAAAATTGGAAACGGTTAGGTAAAATTTATGTTCATTGTCATGTCCAACTCTGCATATTAAACATGCTCTAACACTTGGATCACCTTTTTGTTCAAGGAAATTTATTGAGCGCTTTCTCCCCCTACTCGGTTGAGCCCGTTATACCGGACTTGCTTAGTGTGGTTTACCTGGTTGACGTGATTTGCAGATTATTGCATCAATCCGAGAGTTTACCTAGTGCGCACCCGAAAGATAGCGATGCGGGTTCCCCCGTCATAAAAATAATAATAATAATAAAAAATAAAAAATTATTGAGCGCTTCATTTGTACTTGTATAATATAAACAAGCTTTATAGCATTTTTTTTCCACTCTCATCGTGTTTTTCAATATATTACAATTCACATCATGATCAAATAATTCACATACACACACACACAAAAAGACGTACCTAAATACAGTTTTACTTACTAAGAAATCATGTCTCTCTTCATTTTACATGGCTGCCAACTATGATATCTATATATATATATATATATACCTAGTTAATACTTAACACCATATGAAGAAAGTGAAAAAAGCCAGTTGAGAGGCAATAATTCTGTCCCAATGTGTTGGAGTCATGTCACTATTGGCATGTACTCATCCCTCAACTTGTAATCAAGAAATTATTGCAAGAAATTTCATCTATGAGCCTACCATACATTTGATGTGAAAACTGGCCCATCGGCGCATAGAATTCTGTTTGTCCGATACAAAAAAGACAAAATTAATTAAATCTGCATCCCTTTTGCACTACTGGATAAAATGGCTTTATTTACAGAATTCATGGATTTCAACGGAGAGAATCCATCTTTGAAGCTCCTTTTTCACTTACCGTTTAACATGGAATATTGAGGAACGATAAATCAAGTATTAACTAGTAAATTACTGGTAGAAATCGAGAGGAAATTATCTCCCTATAATATAGAATATGCAAAACCTGCAACAGATCTATCTTTCGTGTTTTGAATTTTGGCTACCAAGTTATCAAGTAGGCAATTTCTAATGAGATGCTTTCGTCAATACCCTTTGAAATTCAGAAATTGAAAGCATAAAACATCTGTCATCTGCATGAATATAAATGCATCAAGACATTAAAGTGGTATGAAATTTAATTTATTGCAGATTGGAGCACTAAATTATAACAAGCTCCATTGTGTATCATCTTATAATAATAATACCTAATATAATAATTGATTTGAATAATACAAAGACAGCCATATCAAGAAGAAGATTTTGCTTGTTCAATCAAACTTATTCTGTTTTCTAATCTTTTTAATTATTTCTACTTTTACTTATTTTTCCACCATAAATTGACAGCTCTATCTTTATAGCCAAAAGCAAACAATCTATAACTCCAATAACTGTACTGCCTCACTTTCCTAAAAGCATGAAGCACCGCATTCTTATTAGTATACGAATACAAGCTGCTTGCTTATCGGCTGTTGTCACAATTGAAGAATTTTCATAGAATAGATCGGTAAAGACCTTACTCTATTTTTTTCTTAAAAGAAACCCATCGGGGAAACAAAGGCCCATCTTTTTGACTTGAACAAATGATCAATTCTTCAGTCGAAAATCAAGATATTGGCCGTCCAATCAATAACAAACAACGATCTAAATTTCGGTCGGTCTCACTAAATTCAGTGTCGATTACACAAATCAGTTTTCACTCCGTTTGGTTCATTGGACACTGCTGGGGAACACAAGTATACTAACTAAATACACCACAACAAAAAGAAGAAAACATGCCTCAGAGTAAGGCATTTATTCTATAGCAGTAGAGAAGAAAGATACTGCAAATTATGTAAAGAATCTCAATGCAAGAAGAAGTAAACTTTCTTCAAATTTTATTCAAGAATCTTAACTCGAAAAAGAGAAAGGTACATTACAAAATTTTCGGGCGATAAAGAAGACAATTTACTTATATATAAAGAATATTAAAGCAAAAAAAAAAAAAAAAAAACGAAAGCTTACTGCAGATTAAAGAATCAGACACAATGCAGAACCCCGACAGATCATATATAGATAATCGGCGCAGTTAGGAGAAAGTAAATCCAGCTAAGTTTGCATGTGCAAATTTTTTAAGGTTAATCTGTTAACAAATAATTCAGCATCTGCTGGAACAACACAAGTTAACTAATCATGGAGATTAGTAGGTGTACTGATGTATAATTCATGTTTTCCGTTTTTATTAAATATTAGTATTCCAGAAGGGCTCTAAATTTAGGCCAAGCAACTTCTGCATAGGGTATACATTATACAATATCAAGCGTTACACTCTTCTTTCATAATTATTACAAAGTGGTTGAGAAAAGACCTTACATTGTGTTTGTTGATTGGGATTTCAATTTACAAATTGGGTCGATACACTTACCAGTGGCGTTGGTCCATATATTTGGGAAATGTTCTAGATTTGAAAAAGAAAGGACACACAATCCTAATGAAGATGCTTCATCGAGAAACAATAAACTCTAAAAATCTGATTAAGCTAATTCAATGTTTCTTTTCTACCATAGTGGGTGGGAAGCCTTAGATTTCTTCTGCAAAAATTTTGACTGTTTTTCCTTTTCCAAGGTGAAATCTGCTGACAACTTTTGTGCATCATCTTTCCAAGACATACTTTACCTAATTTATATAAATGGCTTTAATTTTGTCTAAATTAGGCTTGTGGGGGAGGAACATGTGTTGATATGAGAATGGTAATGCAATTAAACCTGTGGTCCATAGAACATTTTGTAACTCCAAATTATTGGACTTCAATTTGATGCAATCTATAGTTTTAAGTATGAAAAAATCATACAGAATTACTCACAGAGACCCTTTGAAACATGAAAAATAAAGAAATACACATAGATGGTTTGGAAATAAAGTGAGATCCTGATAAAAGAAATCAAATATATATACAAAACATAGTGAGGTACATGAAAACTTACTCTTAATCTTTTACTTATACTGGAAATAAAAACTGAAAATAGAGATAGTGATAGAGATAGAAAATATGTTTTGAAGGATGCTAAAAACTTTATAAATATATCAGAAAGTAAAACAAAGGGAAAATCAGTGGCTGCCTGAAAATTCGATAATGATGCGGCTTTCAAGAAATTGTTGAAACTTGTTACTCCCACAAATCATGGCTATTACACGAATCCTTTCTTGGATTGTATATGTACTCATATATTTATTAGATCTGAATACAGGATATCATAATATCGCAATTTTGACTGTGTGTGGTGTGTGTAGAAACGCTATGAATGATGAAAATTGAAGGACAAATTTATTTTTTTGAAAAAAAAAAAAAAAAGATTCATTGAATCTGCAAAATAACATGAACAAAAGTGCATCTGCACACTGCCAAAACAAAAAAAGCCAAAACTGAATGTTTCTTTCTTTTCACCGTACGACACACTGTAATTTCGAAAAGGTTGTCAGTAGATCTGCAAACAATTACACAATCATGCAAGTAAAAAAATAAATCTGCACGAATTGTTACACAGAAACGAAGATTCAACAGCAGAAAACTGGTCATGAATGTGAAAAGCTAAATCTACACGAATATAGCATAAAAATGAAATCAATATGAAGATTCATAACCAGAAAACTATGTTGTCTGAAAATACCATTCTGTAGTTGCACCTACTGAAAATCTGAGCCTGAAAATGAAAATTCCCTCATGACCCTCTCCATATCTTCCCACAGCTTTATTGAACTGCAAATGGGTTTTTGTCCATACAATTATATGCAGTTCAAGAAAGCTGTGGAAAAGTATGAACAAGGGCCTCAGCTCTTCATTTTCTGCAACCCTAAATAGGGTTTCTTCAAAAAAGAAGAGAGAGATGAACTTTCTCTCTCTATATCTATCCATATTAGGTGGGGGTGGGGTGGGGGTTGGGGTAGAGATGGCGGTGTAGGTTTAGGGCAGATGAAAGGGTAGTATTTATAGGGGAATGGAAGTCTTTTCCTCCAATCCCGAGACGAGAAGATTATTGGGCTATTAAAAAGCTGTGAAACATTTGATCCCATAAATATCATATGAATTTTCATGATTATATGAACGGTCAGGATGAGTCTTTAAAATCTAACGGTTGAGAGAGGACATAGGGGGTCCATGCATAGATCTGTCCGTTTAAGGAGGGTGCGTGCTTATGCTCGTGTGCAACTTTTATTAACTAGGTTTAGTTTCAATCAAATGGAAGAACATACATATATGAATACCTACATAAACCGTACTTGTCTCGATTAATTCGTCTAAGATACCCAATTAAATAGTCATTAATTCAACTACAAGTTATAGATCCTCTGGTTTTAATCGGCTCTGGTTGAATGTTACTATTTTCAATCCTCTTAATTCCATTTGTCGGGAGAAAACCCCTTCCCTTGAACTCAATATCTCTTTTGGCTTTTGACCAATTTAATTCTAAAATATTCCAAAGTTGTTAAAATCTAGTTCATTGATTAGCGGGTTGGATCAACCAGTCTAGTCCAATTTCAAAATTTACGACTACCCATAAACGAATGTATCATGTCTGCGTGGAGAGATCACTGTGATTTCAAGATTATCAATATCAATAATTATTCTAATAAATATTGTTAGAGTATCTTCAAACGACTCTATATTTTTAAAAAGCATATTATATTATTTGGAGAGAATCTATAAATTTAGTAAGTTAAAATTTAGAAATACTCCAACAAACTCTTCAAATTTTAAAAAATATTTATTATTTTTCACTATCTTTTATTTTAACTAGTTTTTCTTTAGATTTATTTATTATTTTCCTATATTAAAAATTGAAATACTTTGAAGAATTCCTTGGAGCATGATTTTAAATTTTAGATCTTTAAAATAGAGAGCATCTTATATTTTAAAAGTCTCTTAGAGATGTTCTTAAATGTTTGGTGCCAGGAATAAAGCTTGATTTCACAATCTCTTCATTTTTAGAGATTAACATTAAAAAAATTTGAAAACTACTTGTCGTTATTTACTTACATTAATTCGATGTTAAATCATGAAATCGAATTTTAGAATGTAGCAATATCTCCACGCAACATTACTCCAAGCTTTTCGTATATTGCACAAAATTTGTCATAATGTTTCTTGTTGTCAAATACCAAAAAACTTGTTTTACTCGATAATATCAATAACAAGTTTTTAAAATAAGTTGAGTTCTGTGTATAGCACAAAAAATCTTACTTCACTCAACAATATCAAGAAGTGAAATAAATTAGTCGTACGTTCATGATACTGTTTAAGTTTTATCAAGTACTACGTAAAAAAAATGTGGTCCAAAGAACGAAATACTAAATAAAAACAAAGCGAAAAATTTAAGGACTAAAATGAAAGAAAAACATTGGATTCACATGGGTGGCATGTTAGGGTGACCCTACATATTAAAAATGATACGCACCCCGTATTTCCCGGACTAAGGTCCCTCAACTGTGTCTGCTGTGGTATGTTCTATGGCGGACATATTGTATACGTACGATGCCAATTTCCTAAATTCCAAAAAACCCTTCTCTTTTTCTACATCACTATTTAAATATTTTTTTAATTATTATTATATGCACAACTTTCTCTTTAATATTTTTATTTTCGAGGGAACAATCTTGATTGTCAAATTTTGCTAGTACTGAATCATAGAATCGAGAATGATATAGTTCTAAACCCATTTGGCATTCTAGCTAAAGAATTGAAATTAACTTTGATTATAATATAATTATTTTATAATTTCTCATTAGAACGATCAATAATTTACGATTTAACGAAGACTCAAAGTTGTTAGGGTTTATAACAAATGAGCAGTCTATGTTAAACACTTAAATAATACTAATTATTTAAAACTTTACATAAAAGCATATTTAAAAACCAACTAATCTTTTCTTGTTTCCCTTTAAGAGGACAATTCTTTTCTTTTTTTTTTAATTATTATTTTACCATCCAATTGACAGATGAGAGATCAAATATTCATGGAATGGACGCAGGATATTGGTTTAGTTAGCTGGCAAACAATAATTTAAGACATCTTTAATTTAGGCATTAACCTTTTATGATGATTGATTAGATATTACCATTATTAAAATTTATTTATTAAAATTATTACTTCGACTAAAAAAAATATTTTCTAAGACATTTTTCTTAGGTCCACATGAAAATGATCCTCATCGAGTTGGATTGCATGTTTGATGTTACAATTTGTGGTGTGGATCCTTTCTTTTATTGAATTCAATTCTTGACATAGAACATGCAACTAATTGTAGATGTGTTGAAGTTGACAACCCTTTAATGAAGATTCGTTGTTAAATTAAATAACAAAAGATGAAAAATATCACTGAATTCAAAAGAATTCGAACAATTATTGTTTTTCGACACCCAAATCCCAATAATGGATCTTTAAACTCTTGATAAGATCCAACATTTAAATCCAAATTTAAGGCCATAATTCTTGAGAATTTATTAATGAATCTATGCAGTTTGCCTTGAGAATGTGTCCTTTCAAGTATCCCTTTTATTAAATGAAAGATTCATATTTATATATCTCAATTTAGATCTAAAATAGTATCCCAAGATGATAGTAAACCAAAATTTTAGCCAAATTAAGATATTCCAAATTGTTGGAAATTGACTGAATTGATCCATATTTTCTCTTTCTTGTTTAGATTGAATTATTAGTTATTGTAATTGAGGTCCTTCAACTTTCAAAAATGATTTCTCGATCTCAAATTCCAGAATGTGTCCTACTTTAATCATTTTTTTTTATTAATTATCATTTGTTCTCATCCAACATCGATTTTTTCTTAAAATAATCAATAAACATATAAATTTAAGTATCTAGTTCATGAAATTACTCCTAAATGTCCCTTTTAATGGTCAAGATAATTGTAAAATTTAAACTTTTCAAACCTTTCGAAAATAAAATGTCACAAACACATCTAAAGGCTGATCATTCATTTAATTGGTAGTTAAAACAT